GTGCTGTCGCTGTACGCCTCTGGCCGCACCACGGGCATCGTCATGGACTCCGGCGACGGCGTCACCCACACGGTCCCCATCTACGAGGGCTACGCGCTGCCCCACGCCATCCTGCGTCTGGATCTGGCCGGCCGCGACCTGACCGACTACCTCATGAAGATCCTCACCGAGCGAGGCTACAGCTTCACCACCACGGCCGAGCGTGAGATCGTGCGTGACATCAAGGAGAAGCTGTGCTACGTGGCGCTGGACTTCGAGCAGGAGATGGCCACCGCCGCCTCCTCCTCCTCGCTGGAGAAGAGCTACGAGCTCCCCGATGGCCAGGTCATCACCATCGGCAACGAGCGCTTCCGGTGTCCAGAGGCGCTCTTCCAGCCGTCCTTCCTGGGTATGTACAGGGGCGGCTGGCCGTCGGGGAGGGGGTGCGCTGGCCGGGGTGGGGGCCAGCGGCCACTAAGGAGGGCACCTTTCTTTACCCAGGGATGGAGTCGTGTGGCATCCACGAGACCACCTTCAACTCCATCATGAAGTGTGACGTAGACATCAGGAAGGACCTCTATGCCAACACCGTGCTGTCAGGCGGGACTACCATGTACCCAGGCATCGCCGACAGGATGCAGAAGGAGATCACGGCGCTGGCTCCCAGCACCATGAAGATCAAGGTGAGGGGCTCCCCTCCTCCCGACCTGAGGGGGCGGGGCCTCCGACAGCTCACGCCCCCTCACCCACTCATCCCCTGCCTGCCTTTCCACAGATCATTGCACCCCCCGAACGCAAGTACTCCGTGTGGATCGGCGGCTCCATCCTGGCCTCGCTGTCCACCTTCCAGCAGATGTGGATCAGCAAACAGGAGTACGACGAGTCGGGCCCCTCCATCGTCCACCGCAAATGCTTCTAAACGGACTGCCGGCAGGTGCCCGCCTGCATGAGCTCCGAGTGCGGCCGCCCCGCACACCTCATGCTAGCCTCTGAAACTGGAAGAAGCCTTTGAAAAGAATTGTCCTTGAAGCCTGTATCTCGAAATCAGCACCGGAGCTAGACCTTGTTGCTGATCTGACCTTGTATTACGTTGCCTGTTCCCTCGGTCTATGTTTAATACCCTGTACATATCTTTGATTTCAACCCTTAGCTCGTGTGACCCGGCCACTCGTGGCTGCGGTGCGGGATGACACAGCGTGGAGAAGGCCGTTGGGGTGAGCACCCGTCTCCCCGACCTCGTGGCCTGCAGGGTATTGATGGCAGAGCTGACGGCTCCAGGACCCCCAGAGGCTGCAGGCTGGGAGCGGTGGTCTTGACCGCTGGCCTCACCTCACGGGGTTGGAAAAATCTGAGCCTTAGGACACCATTTCCTTTCTTAGCCGTTTCCCGCCGGATCGCAGTGGGTGTTACTTGCCTTGAGTTGGAAGACGGTTTGCATTGAAACCTGTAAATTGTATTCATCCTCTTAATTTATGTAAGGTTTTTGTACACAATTCTCAACTCTAGAGATGACAAATTTTGGTTTTTCTACTGTCATGTGCGAGCATTAGGCCCCAGCAACACCACCTCGTGTAAGAATAAAGTGCTGCAGTGAACGGCGCCCTGCTACTGTGGTGGACCAGGGGTTGAGGGCATGGGGTCACTCACTGCAAGAGGAGGGAATCCTGGCTGATTGGACTAGGGCCTCAGTTTGTCCGCTGGGTGGTGGGTGCTTGACCCTGTAGGTGGTGGGAGAGCCTAGGACCTTGGTCAAAGCTGAGACCTGCAGCCCCTGGAAGTGTCTCCTCTTTAACACAAGCCTTGGGCAGTCACCTCTCTGGTGACTCCTGCTGAGTCCCCCTCAGACCTGGTAGAAGTCAAAGGAAAGGGGCTGTTGGATCAGCAACACAGTTCGTTACACTGAGCCACTGGGAGCTCCTAGAAAAAGGCTCCCAAGTTGAGGCACTGCCCACCTCTGAGCTGCAAACTTTCACTACATCCGGCCCATGGCCACCCCTATAGAGGAGGTGGGGTTAGGTACAGCAGTAGTGTCTAAGGGGGTTTGGGAAGCCGCTCAGGTACTCTGGGTGTGGAGTTGAGTAACCCATGGTGCGTCCTTTTCTGGTGGAAAAGACCTTAACCACCTGCCCAGGATGCGGGGTCAGGAGACCTTGAAAGCAGCAGAACACTTCTCTCTGGTACTGGAGGGGGGTGGACAGTAAAGGGCCATCAAGCCCAGTGTCTTCTTCCCTGGAGAACGGTTCAACTGCTGAGCCTGTGAAGGGGGTGGAAACAAGGTCTGCAGGTGTCTTGTGCAAGATCACGGGGCTGGACTGGGGCATCTTAATATGCAGAGGAGCCAGATGGAAGGTAGAGATTGGAATAGAATCACAAATTAAGCAGTTCCTGGAGCAGCAGGAGTGGGGAGTGTGAGCTGGGGTGTGGCATCCTGCAGGCCTGGAGCACCTGCCCCCAGTCACCATTGTCACAGGACTTCTGTGGGGTACAGACCCTCTTCAGACCCATGGACTAAGCTGTTCCTGAAACAGAATTCACCATCCTGGATTCCACCCGGTGGTGACTGACGTGCTTTGATGTCAGAGGGCATCCATTGCCCTACAGACTGCCACCCAGCTCTGTGTGACACTGACAGATTGGGAGGCCCACGTGGGTCAGAGTGGGATGACAGCCGCACAAATCCCAAGGGTTACTCCACTGCCAGAGTCAGAATGTCCGTAAAGGCACCTGACACATCGCCAAACGCGCCTCCCCCAGGAAGGGCATTGTCCAGGGTCTGCAAGCAGGTCGAGGATGCAAAATGCTCCAGTCTACACTGAGGGATCCCAGCTGGAAGACAGAGGAAATGAGGGGCAGGTGTGTGAAGAGCAGGACTCTGGACGGGGCCACAAGGGAAACCAGAGAGACAGAGGCTGCCCCTCAACAGGAGTACAAGAGAAGCAGGATTTGAAAAGGGCTCCCCAGGTGTCAGCAAGGGGCTCCTGTCCCCTTGTGAATTCCATAGCCATGGGACGGCAGCATCCCAGAAATGTGGCCCCAGACCCAACTGCTGAGTGTGTACCCTGGGAACCTGCATGTGGACGGGGATGGTGTGTGGGAGGCAGGACTGGAAGTGGGAGTGTGATCTGTGGGGGTGACTGAGGAGCATAGTCCAAAGAGCAGGGAGGCCACTGATGTGTGCTTTATGACCCCAAGTTAGAAACAGACCTACCAGAACCCATGGCTAAGGGCCGACTTGTGTCTCCCCCTAAACGCCTCCAGTCCTCACCTGGGGCCTTGGGAGACTGACCTTTGGACATAGAAGACCATGTTTATTCCCTTACCCTGGGGCTGCTCTGCTCTTCCTTTCGACCGTTTATACACGTCTTACTCAGTTATCTTCCATTTTCACAAGAGTGATCTTACGCAGTTTTGCCCTTATGTGACAGATACTTCACTCAGCAAAATGCTCTCTAGTCTCTCCCATGTTAAGTAGGATTTTATGGAATGGTTACTCCCTACAGCTGCATGGTATTCCCTTGTGTGAATGCACCAGTTACCAATCTATTCACGTGCTGATGGGCATTGACATTTGAGGTGTTCCATTTTCTTGCCGTCGTGAACGAAATAAGGTCTTTGAAGATGCTCTCAGTTAAAATAAGGTCCTACTGGGCATTCCATCGGAGTGCTGCTGCCTAGCACCGACTGTCAGGGCAGCTCAAGTGATGCCACGCGCAGGAGGAAGCCTGGAGCTGGAGCCTTCCTCACCCCTACCGAGGGCGAGCCCACTGCGCCGTCCGTCTTGTTGAGAGTCTTTCTCTTTTTTGCTGACTTTCTACTTCACCAAGTATGATGTCCAGGGTGTGGCTTCTCCTGAGGACAGGCCTGCGGTACCACAGATGATGTCTCACGTCCTCACTTCTCCAGAGCACTCTGGTTGTACTTCCTGTGAGACAGACTTGTTTGTCCTCCTCATAATCCATGGGACGGTCAACAATCTTCGCCAAAGCACAATTCACAATGCTCAGTTCTTCAGTCTTCTTTGTTCATTGTTCAACTCTCACATGCACGTGAGGTGACTGAAAAGACATGGCTTGGATCAGGTGTACCTTCATCCTCAGAGGACATCCTTGCTCCTCCACAGAGTAAAGATCTGCCCATTGCGATGCACTGTCATTTGATTTCCTGATTGCTGCTTCCATGGGGGAGTCTGTAGATCCCTGTTTAAATCTTCAATCATTAATTAATTAATCATCGTTAAAAAGGTCAATCTTCTCTCCATTCATCATGAAGCTTTGTTCATTGGTGAGGATTTTTGTTTTCTTTTGGTTAAGGTGTAATTCATGCTGAAGGCTGTTACAGTCTTTGGGCTTCTTCAGTAGGTGGTCCAGTTGTCTTCATTTTCAGCCAGCAAAGTAATGTCAGATTGTTGAGGAGTCCTCCTCCATCTGAACGAAGCCTTAAAAGAAAAGACACACTTGTGTGAAAAAAGCAAGGACCGCTTGCTGACAGCTGGACTGCCCCCGTCAAGAGCATCAATAACACAACCCCAATTCCCATGAGGTCAAATGTGTCCTCCACACCACAGGACTTCTTTCTATTCATCTCCACACCAATCTTACTGCTTTGCTGGGTTCAAAACCTGATGGGATAGCTCACAGACTACACAGAACTGCGTTGGGGAAGTCAAACAGCTAGAATCCAGCATACAGTCAGGACAGCTCCCGAAATGCGCACACAGGCACCTCAGCCTTTAGGCCTTTAGTCCAGTGTTCCAAAGTTCTCAGTCCTTACAATGGCGGCTTCACATTCCCAGTTGTTCAACCAAGGCTCTTAGGCCCGGCTCCAGTCAGGCAGCAGTCCCACGGCTCCATCCCTGTGTCTCTGCTGTTGCTGTCAGGGCTGTTGGTCCTGTCGGCCACCTTGTTTGCTCTTTTCCTGGTGGTGAGGTTTCTTCTCTGGTGGGGATAGTCTGTGTGTCTCTCAAGGCTGGATTTCTCAATTTAATGGTGAGACTAGCCAATCGCCTTGCAGATAGGCTAACATGCCTTATTTGCATATTTCTCTGCTCATCCACATAGACAAGTCAGATTCAAGTGGTTGGGAAAGTTATATTGAAGGATAAATACCACCTGTTTTTCATTTTCCTGATAAAGGCATTTGTGTGGATCACAACAAACTGTGACTGACTCTGAGAAGAATGGGAATCCCAAAACATTTGATTGTGCTTATGCAAAACCTATACTTGGACCAGGAGGCAGTAGTCAGAACAGAGCAAGGGGACATTGCATGGTTTGAAATCGGGAAGGGTGTCCGTCAGGGATGTATCCTGTCTCCATACCTTTTCAATCGGTATGCAGAACAGATCATCTGAGATGCTGGGCTGTACAAGGAGGAATGTGGCATCAGGATTGGTGGAAGACTCCTCAACAATCTGCATTATGCAGATTACACAACCCTGCTTGCTGAAACTGAGGAGGACCTGAAACGCTTGCTGCAGAGGGTCAAGGACTGCAGCCTTCAATATGGATTGAAGCTCAACATCAAGAAAATGAAGATTCTCATCCTTGGGCCGATTGGCAGCTTTATCTTAGATGGTGAAGAGTTCGAGATTGTTAACAGCTTTTGTTTGCTTGGCTCCATAATCAACACTCTTGGTATCAACAGCCTTGAAATCAAGAGACAAATTGTATTGGGAAAGTTGGCTGTCAAGAACCTTTCCAGAGTACTGAAGAGCAATGCTGTCTTTCTGGAGACTAAGGTGAGCCTCGTCTGGGCCATAGCAATTGCTTGCTATGCATCAGAAAGCTGGACAGTGACTAGGGGTGATAGAGAATTGATGCCTTTGAACTGTGATGCTGGAGAAGAGTGTTGAGTATACCATGGACTGCTAGGAAAACAAACAGTTTCATCCTAGAGAGGGTGAAGCCAGGCTGCTCCTTGGAGGCAA